CATCCCTCCATCCCCCAGCCTGGATTGATACCGGGAGTTACCCAACACCGGTTGAAACAAAGCAAAAAGCAGAAATTCCAGAAAAGAAAGAAAAAAAATGGGTATTTTTTGTTTTCCACTTACTCCAGGAGGCTGGTCCCTGGTGAACATTCCCCAGGTGTGCCAGTTCATGTCACGTCGAAACATGGTATGTTCGGTTTCGCCAAACCCATACAAATATTGGGACGCCAAACGGGTAGAAATCTGAATGAACATGTCGCTGAAGGTGAAAGTGGGTAGCTGAGAATCCCAGCTGGAAAGGAGGAAAATAGAACAAGATGACAGCAATTTCAGCGCTGGGAATAGTTGGTGGTCACCCTTTCAAGGCCAACGCTTCTTCTCTAAAAATCTCATTATTCACAAAAGCTGGAATAAAACTGTTATGGTTATCAAGAAAACTTAACATTAGGACTTTTTTTAGAGTTTAATGGGGGTTTTTTTTAGATTTTAATGTGGGTTTTTTTAGAGTTTAATGGGGGTTTTTTTGTGCACATTATGTTAAAATTAGAGTTTGATGGGATTTTTTTTAGATTTTAATGTGGGGGGTTTTATAGTTTAATGGGGTTTTTTTGTGCACATTATGTTAAAATATTAGGTGTAAATCAGCTTTTTTCTGTTAAAAACTAAGTCGCAATCTGATAGTGTTCTTCCAATGACATGAGAGGCTGAATTATGGAAGGAATAATTTACTCTGGTTGGCAAAAAATGAACTCAACTTGCAATTAAATTTTGATTACTTTAAAGAACGGCCAAAAAAAAAAAAAAAAATTAAAAAAACAAGCGAACTGATGCACAAAACTCCTTCTTAAACAATGCTGTGGTCATCTAAGGGAAGTGCTAGAAAGTGTAGAAAATTATTGTGTCTCCCCCTCTACTTGGGAACTGCACGAAAACTAGTGTTTGGAAACCTCTACGCTCCGTACTTGAAGGTGATGCAGAGGACTTTCAGCCAGTTTCAAAGCATGAAGTGGCAGGGAAACACCTTAGCCCATTTGGGGAAAAAATAGGGTCTTGTTCAGGTCACCTCCTCCATCCTTCCTCTGGGTTAATATTCTCATACTTATGCAAAGGTCAAGTGACCACCCCTGGAGCAGAGTTTAGTATTTGACAGATGTGGCCATTTTGTGGGACAGACACAAAAACTTATCTCATGGCATTCAGAGCAGACTGAACAATAAAATGTTTTGGCAGGAAAAAAGGAAAAGGAAAAAGGAGAAGAGAAGAAAGAAAAGGGGAGGGGAAGAAATAATGAAATGAAAAATTAAAAGAAAAATCATGACATTAAATTAAATTAATAAATAAAAAATTAAATTTACAAAATGAAATGAAATTTTTAAATTTGCAAAATGAAATGAAAAAATTAAATGAGAAAATTAAATGAAAAAATTAAACGAAAAAATTAAAATAACAAAATGAAATGAAAGAACAAAATTAAATAAGCATGGCTTACATCACTGTCCCTGTGCTTCTGCGTCGAACCTGGATGCCAAATGGTGTGTTCTGAACCTTTACATCATAAAGTCGATTCTCAACTGTGCTCTCTGGGGACTCGGGGAGATTTAGTGGTACTGGCACCTCGTATCGTTCGTTTGCATAATCATAAATCTATGCATGGAAAATTAATTCATTTCAACGTACATGGAATATGCATAAATTAGCAAGTTATATTTTCAAGAAATCAGGATAAAAGTAGTTAAAGCACCTTCTTGTATTACTATTGACTGATAGAAATTAATCTACATAGTGGAAGACTCCAAGTCGAACACAAAGAATTGTTCAATTGTTTCTTACCAATAACTGTAAGAAATCTGAATTCCTTAAAATGGTTGAGTAAAGTTGCTGAGATAAGCATTTTCTTTTAATATATTTCTTTCTCAAATTCCTTCAAAATATTTTGGTCAGGAAATAATAAACCTTAATGTTTTAGTTTTGGGCCAGGAATGACTCATGTAATTATTTAAATATATTGATTCACGTGTATTTTTATTTATGGTAAATAAATTTCACCTTTTTGGTTGAATTTTTAGCCAGCCTTAAGAGATTTTTCTTCAGGTTTTCTGTATCATAGAAGTTGGCATGAGTTGATTCAAGACTAAGAGCAATAAAAGCTATTTGGTTAAAAGGGGAAACTTTCTTAGGTGACAAAACGCTATCCATATAAAACAAAATTGACTAGAAACATTATTCCCAGAAATTACACTGTTTTGACCAGTGGAACAATACAAACTCAGAGAAATTCCGCATTACCTTAAATTGCAGCATATGGTTGTTGTGATATTTCACCTCCAGGCGAAGGGTACTGATGGGTAACGTTGATTTCTCGTAGGCTTTGAGGTTGCTCTTGTTGAAGGTGAGATTGGCCGTCACACCTGATGACGTGTATTTTACGTCAGCAACGGAATAAGCGTTGTCAGGGCCGTCGTAATAGCAGTACGGAACACCTAAATTGGAGGTATCTTCCTGCGGATGGAAACGTGGCTGATGAGGGAATTATTTGATGGCTGACTTTTTTTAGGTTTAGCAGCAAGAATTCCAAAACTCTTGGTTTTACCAGATAACTAGTTAATGTAGAGTTTTGCCCAAAACTTCATGCTGTTACGGAACAATAAAGAAGCAGAGCTGAACCCACCGATCTCTATACTATTTTAGATGTAATTAATGAGTTCAAGGCTGTTCAGTCCTGTCTGTATCACTACAAAGTAACGATGATTTAATATTCCCTCTGTCCGTGACCTTCACCTCAATCCCACAAAAACAGACCGTTAAGTCTCTATGGTCTCTGGCCATTTTGGACACCTTCAAGAGGATGTGTCCAAAATTTATAAGCGATATCAGATGAGAGCTCTCCACCAGCTTTTACATTTTTTTACTCATACAAATTATCTTTAAAATACCCATTGGGAATTGTGGTTTATCTATTGAATATCTCCTGACAGCAAGGTCAAAGTAACTTTCCTTTTCTTCTGTAATTGAATATAAACACTCAAATTATTCTGAAGTTAGATGTGCTGATGTTGGTTAATGCATTATCTTCCCATCTCTGAATAATTATGATTTTTCCTGTCTGTTTGTAAAAACGAAACTACGCCTGCTCACCTCATCTTTATTCCTAATGAGTATTTTTTCATCTTTCGTCACCAAATTCAAAGCCTCTTTTGACTTAAGAAAGGGTTTTAAATATATCCAGTTCATAACCTGACCAGAATGTGCTGAAGAGCCATTTCCAAATATCTTAAATTATAAAAATATTTCTAATAACATGACAAATTCAGGGAAATTTATCAACTCTTTCAGCCTGTTGTTGCTTCAGGAGTGGCTACCAGAACTTCATGCTGAGACGACATGTCCAAGTTTTAAAATGTCATTTGAAGGAGGACTCAAGAGCATTCCCATCAGGGCACAATGCTGGCATATATTTACAGCCATGTGGTATCCAGAAATAAAAACTATGCAGTAAAAAGCTTCAATATCAGGAATTATGATTTGGGTATATCTGATAGACAGGGACACAACCAGTTAAGTTGAAAATTTCCCTGAGGTTCAAGGATTTCTTCTTATTCTTGATTCCAGAGGAACCAGGTTTATTTAAAATTATTTATTTATTTTTGTTGTTTACTTAAATTTATTTATTTTTCAATCAGTATAAGCGTAAGATAAAGCAAAAAGGCACACACCTTCCCCCCCAAAAAAGCCTTGCAGGTCCCAGCTGCAGTGGTGATCTCAAGTCTATTCTATTTTTTATAACCCTAACATTATTTGTTACCATCTTTCAAAAAATACCAACTTTTCACTCCATTTTTCACATACTTCAGAAGACCAGAAATTGTTAAAAATTATTTTGGTTTCAATAAACCGCCTACTTTTTTAAGTCCTTCCCTCTCAGAGAGAAGGAAAAATGAGACTGTTTCTTTTGTTGTTAAAAAAAATACAAAAATAAAGTTACAGTTCTTAACATGTTTCTTCCCAATTTGGTTTTCACAAATTTTTGCTTACAGTCCAGATACAGCCAAACTGTTCACATTTTTCCTTGGAAGCGTTCGGACCAGGATGACAATCATATTTTTCCTTGACACTGGTTCCTAGCGTCCATCTTAATGAGTACGATTTTCCTAGTTCGAGCTGGAGTCCTCGTATGAGAGCAACCTATGAATATTAAACAATATAGCGCTATTAAATTCTACCTCCCATCAATGTTTTTTTCAGATCCTTAAAAATGAGAAATTGCCCTGCACAGCAACTTGCGCCAAACTTAGCGTCTCTCCTGAGGCACCCTTATTTTTTACAAATTCATCCGTCCGAAATTCCTGCACAGAAGATCTGAAAAAGATCTGATCCTGCAAGTCCTGTGGAAGCACGCCAGGGGTGAAGATAAGTGCACAGCTCTTTAGTCTTTTTAAATTAAAACGTGTTTCAAAAATGTAAATATTATTTACCCTCCTAAAATATCAACTAAAATCCTAAAGCTATTCTTCCCCTTATAAATTGAATGTACCTGCATAAACGCGAAAATGAACTTTGTGCCGCATGCAGTGTCTGAGGGCAAAATGGAGATCCATCCTCTTTAACGTAATTAACATTATTATTAACATCATTAACATTATTATGAAGGTAAATAACATAATCGTACTTTTTAATAAAATACATCGCATATACTGTGGCATTTGCCATAGTCCTGAGGACCCTCCTTTTCAATATATAAAATACAGGCAGTCCAACTCCTGAGATGTTTCATTACAGTTTTCCTATTATTATTTACCTTATCCACAGGATTATAGGTGATATTATGAGAAGAATTTTGCACAGCATTGTTCCGCAACACAGTAACCGACACTGGTTCCTGGAGCAATCCCAGGATTTTGATTTCTTCAAACGTCAGGTTGTTTGGATCGGCGTAGTTGTTGTTTGTGACATTCATTTGTAGAACGTTCTGGGGAATAATGAAATAATTGCACTGAATTGCCAAAATTTCTCCTGATTTAAATTGACAAGAAACAATTTTTTTTTATGTTACATATGTATATATAACATCGTTATGTACATTACATATGTTTCTGCATTATATACATAATATATGTATGCATATAATATATTCACACAGAAAAGCCAGGCTCTATTCGACCATATTGAATAATATTAAATGAGTCCAACCTCCCAAACTGTGCCCCGGCTGTCACATACACCAGTATAAAACTTTCTTACTACCCTAAAAAATCATGACGCAGATGCTCTGGGTTCTGACATTTTCTCACTGTAGACATTCAGCTACATTTTTGTCCAATATGCAAAGATTTCTGTCAATTTTTCAAATTTTTGAGACTCACAAACAATCCATTCATCGCCTTTCTTATCCTAACTGCCACTGCTGCTTTACAGTTTTTCTGCTCTATAAACTGTTATAAACTCTATAAACATTTTTTTTTTGTTCTAGAAAGTAGCAGGAAATGGGGAATCTTCAGATATTAAAAATAATTAGTGGAAGAAAAGACAAATATCAGATTTCCATTTTGTCAAGTGACAATACTTTGACTCTTAGACTTTGTCAAATACTTCATTTTTTAGTAAATGTTTTAGGGGAAGGGGAACGCGGAGAAGAATATCCATAGAAAGTATTATTGATTAAAATAGGAAAGGAAAATTAGATCCTTTAAAAAATATATACTTACATTGGAAACTTTAAAGTCATAGGAAATGTAGGATTTGCTGTTAACACTACCTAAAATGTGGAGAAAGAAATTACAGTTGCAGTACAGAATGAGACGGCATTAAAAAAGGAAAGCTGGAAGAGCAGAAAAATGCTAATTATTATTATCATTACAGTTACCTTCAAAAGCTACCCCACTGAGCAGCTGCGGGACAAACTGCAACAATCTATGAAATCCTAATTATTCTTTGAAGAGGGAAAAATGAGTGTTGATATTTAACGTTCTGCCAATTCAAACCTTCGGTCAAATTGATCCAGGGTGTCAATATTTCTACACTTTCCTGAAATCCTGATTTTTTTGGCAGTCTTTTTCAAGTTCAGAAGTTACCTATCGAGTCATGATGTTATATGCTGCTGGGGGTGCCAGAAAGCCACCTAACCTTCCCATTTTTGCCCCTTTCATCATGCATATTTCTTTTCTCATATTATTCCTGGCCTTAGAAAAGTATTTCTTGTTACTTTTGATAGCCTTTCCTAGCTGACCGTCTTTTTTCTAATTGTTTTTCTCTTCCTTCATCTCTAGATGAAGGACTATAAACTCCAATTAAATCTACATGTATTAATGCCAAATATGTGCCATTTTAGTATATACTTCTGGTGTATTTTTGTAATTTGACTTGGTCTGCTCTCTAAGGTTAAGGAACTTCTCCTAGCTTCTAATCTACTTTTTATTTCAGTATAGCTAAATGAAGCTCAAGTATTTGTCCCATTTTTTGGAAAACCTCGTTAAGTTTCCCATTCACAGCAGCCTATGGAAATAATAGGATATGAATTAGAGAAGATCAGGTCCACCTGAAATGCAGTAGCATTAACAGGAATATGCCATAAAACAAAGCCCTTTGCACTTAATATTACAGTTGTTTGCAAATAAAGTAGTAAAATCTGTCAAATAAAAGTAATAATAATCATCATGTAATAATATAGTAACAATATAGTAATAATACAGTAATGATAATAAAAAATAATCCACCTTTAATACAAGCTTAAGTGTTTTATAAAATGTCTTCCAAAAATAATTTCAGAATAAGTGTTTAAGCTGCTTTCTGTCTTTTCTAGAAAATGTACATTGAAGTACAAAGGCTTCAAAAGCACCTGAAGGATTTAAGTATCCAAAGTTATTTGAATTTAATGAAAACTAGATGCCTAACTGAAGCGTAAGAAACCCGTTAGAAAAGGTTCTTCATTTTGCAAAAATACCTTCCTCAAGATTAAAATAAAAAATCGTAGTATTTTTGTTGGCAAGGGTCTTCCATTGTTCTGGAATGATCTCTGCTTTTCTTAGACACACCTGTATTCCAAAGGCATTAATTTTCACAATAAGAATAATTAATTTACCTTAAAATTCAAGTTTTTCCACTTGGGTTGAATTAAGTTAGGACCTTAGTGTTACACTAAATTTTTTTCTTAAAAAGGATGTAAATCGTTTGGTAGAAAACCACTTGGGAGTTGAGTGGTATCGATCCCAGTTCATCACAACAGGTTGCAGGGCTTTGGCCTGATGATTTTACCTGAACAAGAAGTTTTCAGGCAGCTATTAACAAAAAGTGAGGTTGGAAACATAACACGTGTAGCCTGTTCAACTTACTCAAATTCATGGATACGCTGTGGGAACCAAATGCCTTAACAAATTTTGGGTTCAATACCACACCTTTTGAGTTAACAACATTTCTGCTGATTTCCCAAGGAATTTAACTATTAATTCCGAACCCTTCGGCAACTGTATAGGTTTTTCATCTTCAGCTGAAACTTCTTGCAAAACATGGATTATGTCTGTTCTTGTACCCATTGAAACTCATTTGGGTGCATAACAGAAAAGATATCAGTTGTGGCAGTATGGTTTAACTGTTGGCAAAATCCTGACTATTGTGAATTCTCAAC